GCATAGGAAATTAATGAACTTAATACAAGTGAAATGAGGATGAAACAAGGGGGAAACAAACTCAATCCAAAATATACTAGCACCGTTCAAAACTAACTTAAATATAAATATTATCAAAAGCACATTTTCATTTTTGGTGTACACAATACAGATATTTTAAAAAAGAAGCTGTCTGAACTTTGTCTTTGCTTGAAATAAGTTTTAGTCAGTTTAGAAGAAGAGAGGAAGAAGAGATTGGATTTATACCCCACCCTTTGCTACCCAAAGGAGTCTCAGAGCAGCTTACAGTCTCCTTTCCCTTCCCCTCCCCACAACAGGCACCCTGTGAGGTAGGTGGAGCTGAGAGAGCTCTTTCAAGGACTGCTCTTGAGATAACAGCTCAGAGAGAACTTGTGACTGACCCAAGGTCGCACCCGAAGCTGCAAGTGGAGGAGTGGGGCATCAAACCCGGTTCTCTCAGATTAGAGTCCACGCTCTTAACCACTGCACCAAAATTTCTCTTTTTTTGTACATTTTCAGAAAGCAACAACTGGCTTCAATTTATATATACATTTCCTTCTGGATGTCATATCATAGTAGTAGGAATAAGGCGCAGGCCCCATATTTAGATGTTCTGGAGTCCCGCAAACTCAGAAGGGCTTACACTTTGGCTAGATGCTCTGCCTTACCTTCTGCAGTTCTTGAGGGCAAATTTAAAAAATTACCCCGAACAGAGAGGTTATGTATGTGCGCATTGGGGGAGATCGAATCTCAGGAGCATGTATTCTTAAGGTGCCCGTTATTTGAAGAGGCGCGCACAAAACTCATTGAGCCTTTTTTGGCAGGCACTTCTGATCAGGATAAGATGGAAAACTTGTTTTTTAACCTTGAACATACAGCGCTCCATCAGATTGCGAAATTTTGCTCCTTGGTTATAAAAGCTCATCAGTGCCCTGGTTGTCACTCGGGTTAGGACTGTTTGATTTTAACTTTTACTGTTTCCAAGTCATCTTAGTTCTTTTCCTTTTATCGTGTTTTATTGTAATCTTAAGTCTGGTTTTAGCAACCAAAATGATTGTATAATGTTATTTTTTAGTACCTAGTTGCACTTTGGAAATTTTACTATTAGGCCATTGTAGTTTATTTGTATATCTATGGTTTTATATTGCTGGCTAGGTGCCGTAACAATAAAATTCATTCCACTTGAGCGACCGCAGCGCCCAAGTACTTGTTAGCCAGATATAAATATTATCTGGCTGAAAAGTACCTTGAAAACCTAATTGAGTAATGGTGATTTACTGACGTCCGTCTCAGGGTCTAATTTGACTGTCTGCCTGTTCATACAATGGACAGAATGCTTTTTTGATCCATGACATTCCATGACCCTCAGCACCAGTGTTCCCTCTAAGCTGAGTTAGGGGGAGCTAGCTCACAGTTCTGTAGTCTCTGGCTCACACATTTTTGTCCTAGCTCAGGAAAGATGGCTCCAGAGGAGACTGATTTATGCTGCAGCCAAATCGCTCACTCACAACTTGAATGCCAGTAGCTCACAAAGTAGGATTTTTGCTCACAAGACTCCACAGCTTAGGGGGAACATTGCTCAGCACCCTGCAAATGTGGTGATGAAAATCATTCACTTCCTCAGTGTCCTTTTGACCAGCTGAGACCCAACTGTCCCTTAAATTTATTCCATCTGTTAATCACTGTTTGGGTGAAGAAGGACTTCCTTTTATTTGTTCTAACCCGACTGCTCAGCAATTTCACGGAGTGCCCACAAGTTTGAGAACCAGTTTGGTGTAGTGGTTAAGTGCGCGGACTCTAATCTGGGAGAACCGGGTTTGATTCCCCACTCCTCCGCTTGCACCTGGCTGGATGACCTTGGGCAAGCCTTAGCTCTGATAAGAGCTGACCTTGAAAAAGAGCAGTTTCTGTCAAGAGCTCTCTCAGCCCCACCTCCCTCCCAGGGTGTCTGTTGTGGGGAGGGAAAGGGAAAGGAGTTTGTAAGAGGCTATGAGACACCTTTGGGTAGTGAAGGGTGGGGTATAAATCCAACCTCCTCCTCCTCCTCCTCCTCCTCCTCCTCCTCCTCCTCCTC